GCGGCCGAGCCGCCGATTGCTCTGGCTCAGGAGCGTTTTATATTAGAAATAAGCTGAATTGTTTAGGCATCTCTCAGGAAATCGTAACATTTTCTTCACTACATAAATAATGTTTATTTTCATTAATATATAATATATATATATATATTTAATTATTAATAAAAATAAATAACATTTGATTTATTTTTTACTTATAAAAAAGAAGGGGGAACAGGAGGCGTCGTCTCCTGAATCGGCTCGAAATGTGCAACTAATTCCGAGCGCTGTTTTATATGATTATATATAAAATTACATATGTCACATCTTTTCATAACTAATTATATATATTCACATCTGACCAATTATACCATTTTTTTCTCGGTAAGAAGTTGAATTTATGACTTAATACGCTAAATTAAAGATGATAAGATAAATCTTTTTTAAATTTAATTTTACAGAAAATTTTTATTTATAGCTTACAACATTCTTGACTTCAAAATGTACAATTGACCTTGTTATCCAAATTATTTCTTCCACGTCTGCTTTTAACAGCGCACTAGTATTGTATTGCTCGTTTTATAATAACAGTGAAACAGTAAGTTTATTACACATTTGCACATTACTTATTGCACATTTGCATAAGAATTTGTGAGATTAACATTATCATCCGTTTTTTTAAACACCAATCAATTTTTTTTAAACAGTACTAACAAAATAGTATAAAAACTAAATAGTATAAGTTTATTTAAATAATAGGTAACATACTTAATGGAGCAGTTTCAACGAATCTGTGATAATCTAAAGGACAAACACGAAATTACCATTTTCGAACGATACGCAAATCATGGAAAACGTTACACAATTATGTACATAAGTAAGATAATGGGTTTTTATTTACATTATATTTTATATTATATTTACATTTATATTACACTTATATATATATATATATTTATATTTTTATTATATTTATATTATACTTTTTGCAAATCAATTGATTAAAAACTTTTGTTATCAAGGATTTTTAAATTATATAAATTGTCATGTTTAAACTCATTAAAAATACCAATTTTTATTACTGTATTATTAACATAGTTATATATAATGCTGTTTAGCGGCTTTCGTATGTGTTATATCGTTTGTAATGGGTGTCCAACTATGGCTAACTTTTCGCGACATTATTTCATCCGCAAAAGTGTCTCGACTACAATGTTTGTTCAAAATGGAGTACTTTATTGATGAGGAAAGATATTTTTACGTACCGCTATTGCATACAAATGTAGCTTTGATTGTCGCATCTCTTACGGCAATCGGAACAGGAGTATTGCTCGTTGTGTATTTCCAGTATGTTTGCGCAATGTTTCAGATTGCTAGGTAAAACAATAAACATAAGAACCAAACAAATATAATTCTGTTTTTTTCGTATTTGGTGATAGAGTATTTGTTTTACAGTAAGAATATGATAAAATCTGCAATATCATTAAACAATATGTTTCTTAGCGTTGCTACAAAAACGGAAACTTTGATAATATAGAATTAAAATATGCAATTAAAACAGTTTTATTTTAATTAATAATAATTTTTTATCAGTATTTCTCTATATTGATTAGATTTATTTTGATGTTTAGCTTTTTTAATATGACGACTATTACATTTTTAATGATATGTTATTATATTTTGTATTAATACATCGATATATTAAAATTTAAACTATTTAATTACAATATTATTATTTACTTTGTAATATTTTTATATAATTACAATAATTAAATTATTCACAGTTACCGTCTCGAGCAGGCAATACAGATTTATATCGTACAAGGTGTAATCCTGCTAAATGAGAAAATGATTTATAAGAGAATAGTTTGTGCTGTAGATATTCATCGCAAAGCTATTATGTTGGTATTTATCCCATAATACATATATAATAATGCGTAATAACATATCTCCTTATTTTTAAAGGTTTTCCGACCAAATAATGTCCACATTTCAAATGCTATTAATGATTTTACTAATGCATGTAGTGACTATTTTAAGCTTGAATTTTTATTGTGTAAGTTTAGTTTTATTTTTGTTTATGAATATGTACATATATAATCTAATACAATATTTTTAATTTTTTTTAATATTAAAAAATTTTTTTGGAAAATGAATTGTAGCGTGAAGTAATAATCTGTCATTATAACACAATGTAATTAAAATAAAATGTATAATTAGTATTTAAGTTTACAAAAACAAACATTTTCTTATTTATAAAAATGTTTATATATGGTATATTAACACATGTTACACGTTATAATTCAAAAATTTTGCATCAAATATTATTTCAACTATAAAATTATTTCACTATAAAATTATTAAATTATTAAATTTAATTTAGTAGTAATTAAACTTAAATTTATTTTTATAAATTAATTCAAACACTAAAACTCTTCTATTAGGTCCTTAAGGCTGCTTCATTGGGATATACAAAAGATTTTTGGATGTCTCCTATATTAGGATCTGCTTGTTTTCTATTTTTCTTTGCATGCAACTTAGTTGCACAACAAGTTACAGATGAAAATGACCATATATATGTGACTGTGTAAGAAATATTTTACACATTTACCAGATTACATTATAATTTTGTTTTAAGAAATTTCTTAATATTAATTATGTCTAACTGTTATATTTTTCTTGCTTGATCTTATTTGACGAAAATAGTACTAATATGTTTTGTGTCTTTTATTTGAACTGTTATTTTAATATAATTAAATGTGAAACATAATACGAAATAATAAGATAAAAAACGAAAATCAGAAAAAATATGGAAGTTTGATTGTAGAAATAATATCGTACACAAGAAATTAATATACACTGTGAAAATTACACTTATTTCTCAAATGCAATAATTTATATCTCATTATCATTATATATAGATATAGAATTCGGTGGTATCTAGCTCCTGTACGCATACAAAAACTAGTACTATTTTTACTACAAAAAGGAAACAAGCCATTTGGTTTGTATATTGGTAAATTGTTTCTAGGATCTCTACAGTTTTTTGCTATGGTATAAAATATTTAATATAATACATCTTAATGCACATCAACATATTTTAATTTTGTTATCTTATTTTAAATAGATAAAACAATAAATCTTGTTCCAGGTTTGTAATACATCCGTATCTTACTGTGCTGTCATGTATTCTGTAGGATGGTGATGTAAAAACGTGTCAACTAGAAGCATGTTAACGTAGACATAACAAAAAATAGTATTAAATATTGGATTTTTTGTTAAATAAAACATTAATTAAGAAATGTATGTACAATTTAGTGCAATGTTATGTTAACAGTATATACTGACCACATCACTTTAAAATAAGTAACAATAAGTTAAAAAAACAATTATTTTTTTGCCAAAAGTAAATATTTATTTTGTTTTTTTGCAGTGTCGGTTTTATTAAATAAAATGATTCACGTTCGGATTTCGTTATGAGTGAGGTAGTATTTAGTCTGATTATTATAATTATTAAATGTATATTCTATACATAAGGTGTAAAGGAATACAAAAGATATTTAAATAAAAAATTATCGCTATAAATTTCATATGGTTTATTCTCAAAATAATTAACAATTTCGCATAGATACAAACACTGCTATAAGACTCGACTCCGTATTTTTATTCCAATTCACTATTGTACATATTTCATTATGATATAATATACTTATATGGCAAATATGTATAATATTCACAAAATACTTCACACATATCTTTCGCGATCGCAATTTAATAAAATTTATATAAAAATTCTTTGTATAACAAAAATAGCTTTAGTTACATACATCATGTTTTGAGATTTCTTGCATTCGTCGTTCATTATTTGTCATTACTTCTTAACAATTACTAGAGGCACTTGAAAATATATATTGCATCGGTCAATTGAACCGAAGGCGATTGGGTTGTAATACTTTTACATGTATCATCTTAAGTCACATTTTACAAAATATTAACTACGAAAGACACTCGACCTAGAAAAACACGCGCACACTCACATAATCATATTTGTTATCTCGTTGATAGTTGTAGTCTTAGTTTTATCTACATTTTCCTACTCTAATATTGGCTTTTTCTTACAAATAAACTTTTATCAAGAGATTAGTTCAATTATTTGCATTTTAAGTCTTATTCCTTTTATTGTTTAATGGATTAATAATGCTTATCCATTTAAATTCTCTCGTTTTATCACAGTGTACGCTGGTGTACACTACATATTATTGAGCTTAGCTACGATATGATAAGATAACGCTGTATTGGCACGCTTTGCATAATAAAAAATTGAGAGATATACAAAAAGTATATATGTATACTATAAGAATATATCTACAATAATTTAAAGTACATAGGTTTTTCAACAAGTATATTTTATATCTGTTGAATACTACAAAATATACTTTATACGAGCAATAAGTTTTGTCCTCATTGTCAATAAAATATATGGAGCTTTATTTTTGTCTGTCCACGATATGGAATATCTATTATTTAATGTCTATTTCTAAATTACTATGAGTCGAATCCTCGAGATACTTAACATTCTCGATCAATATCTCAAATATAATAACTTAAATCAGTGGCACTGTTAAAATATGCATTGTTCTCAATTAAGGCACTTTGAATTCTTATATATCGCAACTACATATACAAATTTTATGTTGACATAAAAATGATCCATATTAATATTATAAAATTACTCCTGCTCCTTTAAAAAAGTGGTGTAAATTTTACAATTAAATAGATCACTAATATTACAAATAATTTCATTCAATAATTTATGTATCTCATATAAGATTTATTTCAAGAAAAAAGCAAATTACTTCTCGCAGAAAAAAAGATGACAAAATTAAAGATCACGTTTAATGTACATCAGTCATGGAATCTAATATATTGAACGCATAACTTTCGTCGTATAAATAGCAAATTTTAAGCGCGACTATTTCACCGATCAATAATAGAATTAAATTTCTGCTTTTCGTTGATAAGCATGGGTCATTGAATCATTTGCAAATATCTATTTTCTTCCAGCAAAGAGCTAAGGGAAGACGTCATATCATTGACAACCATATTAGCACTAGCAGGTAGAGGTTGCGGTAAAGACATAGGATGCGTCGAGCTGGAGACATTAGTTTCGTGAGTCTGTGCGGTGCCGGACCAATTCCTGCACTGTTGGACGTATTCTAATGTTCTGCGATAGGAATCCTGCCTCATGCCTTGAGGCGGTTTTGCCGGCGAGCCCTGCTGTGACTGACTGATATCTCTGCACTGTATCTCTGGTAGTGGTCCACCGTGTTGATCGTGATAACATTGGTTCCCGTAGGGCCACGGGCAATTGCAGTTGTATTGCTGATGAGCTGGAGGATTGGTGCGCGCTTGACAGTTATGCGCACAGGTCTGTTGCTGTTGTTGCATTCTGCAATTGGTCTGTTGAGCGTTACAAAGTTGCGGTGACGTCCTCTTCGAAGCATTGCCATCATTCACCTGACGATGCGTGCCATTGGGATGAACGCAGTTGGCAATTTGCATACAGGGTGTCGCAGTAGATTGTTGAGTTTGTTGCTGGCAACCTTGGAGGTTCGTCAGCGTGGTCATCGGTTTGCTTTGATTCGGAAGATTCAGTTGAGAGCAGTGCGGCGACATTGGACCGCACTGATTGGTCACCGGAGGTTGTTGGGCAGAATGCATATTGGGTATATGACTATTTGACGTTGCCATAGGCCTCGCGCATTGACCGGACTGATTACATTGCGCATTTGGATGAGCGATGGCCGACGGATTGGACATGGGCGCGGTCGGCTGCGGGCAGTGCGGCGACAATTGCTGACAGTTATTCGTTAATCGCATCTGCACAGTGTGACTGGATGGTATGCATGTTTGATTGGAATGATGATTGGCCTGTCCGGTAGCATTGCCGGTGCAGTTCGCGCTCATCTGACCCGTGCAACCGTAAGCCGGATAGTAAGCGTGATGAGCATGGTTCTGAGGACAATTTCTAGAGAGCTGGGCAGAGTTTTGAGGCAGATTTTGCGGCGCGTGCTGCGGAGCCAACGCGCCAGCTGCGGGAGACGTCAGTGGTTGATCGCTCAAATGACTCGAAGCGTAATGAGAACTCGGCGACATGACTTGACCCGTAGCTGGACTCGCCACTTGTCCGCCGGTGACTTGAGATCCATAATTTGGCGGTGGACAATACTGCGACGGAGGTTGAGTGGCGCGCGAACTTGGACACTGGCCGTATGACGCGGAAGAAGGATTCTGATAGTTCGGACAAGGCTGAGCAGGTTGCTGTGCGGGTTGCTGAGAGGGATAGCAGTTCTGTTGATGCGGCTGATGCGATTGATTGTAATTGCACGCGGGCTGCATCTGTCGCTGGAAATGTAAAGGATTCGTGCATATAGGCGATTGACAGATAGGTAGAGGGCTATTGCGATAATTAACTTGATTTCCACCCGCTTGAACCTGTAACGGCAATACCGATTTACGGAATTAGAAAAAATTTACGTGACGTGAAAAAAAACGTCAAGAGTCTGATTATATAACACGTTGATTACCTGATTTAAATATTGCATCATTTCATCCGGAATGACCAATTTATTTTCCACCATTTCACCTTCACCCACCTCATCGAGTATCACCTCTTGATTAGGATGCAGCTCGGGCAGTTGCGCCGATCTTGGCCTCGGCGGAATCGGAGGCGTAGTTCTTTGAACTTGATTACTGCGAATAGGCTCGGACATTCGTCGATCACCAGATGGTTGAGTGCAATGACCGCTCGGGTTGTTCCATTCGCCTGGCATCGCCTGAATGTTCTGCAAATAAATGTGATATTGTTTAAAACTAACATTGTTTGTCACGTTCACATAAAATTGCAATGTAAAGCGTACCTGAAGAGACATGTTTTGCGTTTGAACGACGAGATTACTTGTTGAATAAGGTCCTTGGAGATGACTGGGCGGATTGATTCTGCCGGACGTGGTGCTCATTTGACTGCTTCTTCTAGACGTGCCAGGACTGATCGGGTCGTAGAAACTTTCCGGTCCAATGGGGCCCATTCTGACAGCGCTAACGCCGCTCGCCTGGCTGCTTCTTCTGCTGCCGAAATCCGTGGATCTCATGCTACCGTAATAAGTGCTAACGGTGCTGTTGCTGTCCCGTCGTGGCTCGCCGAGTGGCTGCAACCTCAGCTGAAGATCGGACAGACTCGTCTGCCGTGTCTGTCCACCACCGCTCTCCATCTTCAGATCCGTGATTCTTCTGTTGAGATCGCCGATGTTCCCTTGTGGCGCGATGCCGCGAATCCCTCGCACATTCGCCACGCCAACCGACAAATTCGGCATGCCTTTGGCATTCAGTCTTCCTTTCAAACGATTTCGTGATGTGGGCGGTGGTGCTTGTTGTTGTTGCTGCGATTCCATTCCGCCAACCTGTGAAAAAGCAAGGCAAGATTATCTAAAATTAGAGATTAAGGAATTTTAAGAAACCCATTTTATTTTATTCTACTAATGTAATCTATATACATATTCACAGCAGTCCAAAAGACTCACCATGGCACGTAGCGCTACAGGAAGGTCGGCAATGTCTAAGTCATCAGGTTCTTCGTTCCATGGTTCCTCAGCAAGAGCAACTCCGTCGCCTGTAAGAGCGCCAACTCCGACGACCTCGTCGTTGCAGCCGCCTACCAACGGACTACCCTGTTGCTGCATCATGCTAGGCGGACTATTAGCTTCACTCTCGGACTTGACACTTGGACTCGACAAGCTGGGCGTCTTCGGATGAAGATCCTCGCTCCTGCTGGGACTATGACCGCCTGCACCGGCTTCATCGCTGCCACCGCCATCGCCACCGCCGCCTTTGTGCTTCTTGTTCGCGTAGAATTCCGCACCATGAACGGTCTTGACGTGCTTTCTCAGCGACGATGGATCTGTATACCTCTTTGTGCATCCAGGAGCTTTACAGACATACGGTTTCTGCATATGAAAGAAAAAATTATCAATAAAATAATAGAGGTTTTAAATAATAACTATTTAATCTGTTACAAGTTACAAAGTAATTCAAATAGAACATAGATTATCATATTTAGATTTATCTTATTTGAATTTTATCTTAATTAAATTTGTTTCTCTTTTCAATAGTCAAGGAAGAAGAGAATAATACTTACCTCATTGGAATGCGTCCTGTTTTGATGTTTTGCTCTGTCGCTAGCGTTGCTGAAGGCTTTGGTGCAGCCAGGATATTCACAGGTGTATGGTTTTTCTCCAGTATGAGATCTCAGGTGAGTTTTGAGGTTCTCTAATCGCGAGTAAGCTTTAAAGCAACCTTCAAACTGCACACAAAAAATATTTAATTAATTAATAACATAATACAATTATTTAACATAAGATTGAAAAATAACGATGAATATTTTATTCAATAATTAATATATAGAAACAGATAAAAAGATAAAGAGTAAAAAAAACAAATCTTTAGAAAATATATATTGTGTTAAAACATTTAGGATTGATTTTTACATTGCTTTCCTTTTTGTAATTGAATTATTACACTACCATAATTTTTCTTGTACTTAAACTTGATGTTTTTGCTTTCATATAACGCGCCAACCTAAATAATCACGTGATTCAAAACGATTGTGATTCGATCATAATAGATGGATGCCGACGTAAACTGATCAGCTATTGGTCAAATTTGTGACGTCATGCGTCTCATTTCATACATTTGAATTTTCAACACCGCTGCTCCTTTCGCGTCAAGCGCCCTCAGTGCTACAGTCTAGCTGCGTGATCGCTCCGCGTTTTCGCATTTTTTTCCCGTCTCAAGTTAAATCCGCGGACAAATGAGAGTCGAAAGTACCGAACCTAGCGATGGGCAATCGTTTCGAAGTATTAGTCAAGTCGCGTGATTGTGATTAGTGCGTTAACCGGCATTCGCGATCAGTGTCCGTTGCTTCGCGTTTCGTCATACGACTCTATTTCAGAATACCCGCGTTTCGCGTATATCGCGCTAGTGACATTGCTGGCTAGCATCGCGAATGCTATTCATGATTCGCAGTATTGAGGAACATCAATGGAAACATCAAGTGATCGCCGCAATCAATTCATCGAAACAGGTAATGACTCTGTTTGTCTAAAAAATTGAAATATTCGCTGCGTAATTATATGAAATGAGACGCATGATGTGACGTCACGAATTTAACCAATAGCTGATCAGTTTGCGTCGAGCATCCATGGTATTACGATTGAATTACAATCGTTCCGAATTTTCGCGTCATTTTTATTCGTTCCGGAAACATTTCACGCATAAATAAGCGTAGAAAGTCCCGAATCCAGCAATAAACGATTTCACCCATTCGCGATCACCGCGCTCCCTCGGCATTCGCGATCAGTACGCATTGATTCGTGTTTCGTCGTACGGCTCCATTTCCGAATTTGCGCGTTTCGTGCGTATTACGCACTATTTGCTTCACCGACTAGCATCGCGGAGAAGCATCTATTATTCGCAGCATTAAGAAGCATCAACGGAAGCATCAAGTCATTGCAATGAATTTATCGAAACAGGTAATAGCGCCATTTTTTGGGAAATGGAAAATTCGCTGCGTAATTGCGTGAAATTGGGCGCGAATATGACGTCACGAATTTGATTGGCAGTCGTATCGCCAGTTCGCGTCGAGCTCTTGCGGCATCAGAAACAAATCTTGAACGCTCCGTGTTCTCGCGCCTATTATACTTCTCCCAAGTAATTTCCGCGTATGATTGAGTGTCGGAAGTGCGAAATCCGGCGACAGTAATTGTCTCGTAGCATTAATTGGCACGTACATATAGTGATCAGTCCGTTTTTCGGTCTTAATCAGTGTTCGTCATATCGTATTTGTTAGGACTTCATTTTTGAATGCTTACATTTCGTGAACGATGTAAGTGCCATCTATCATCCAAGTGTCACATTTATAAAACAAATACAGCATGATGGTAAAGCAGTTATCCATCTTACTCTCTCAGTCGAACCATAACAAATATGCTATACAGATGTCATGAAACTAATTCATGTTTTTACCTTGTTTTTGATGTCATGAAACTAGTTCATGTTTTACCATGCTTTTACTTTTACTACATAGCTACATGCAATAAACCCGCAGGGGTGAATCGCACAGTCATTTGTGCTTAGCAAACCCACAGACCTGAGCTCACACACACTGCGATCATACACACACACATACACTTACACATATACACAGTGAATTACCACCCCGCTTCATTAACGCCCCCACCAGACCCAAATGGCCGTAAGAGGAGAGATCTTTCAGTGCCATTACACATTTACTCTACTCTAAACGCAATGAGAATCTATCAATCTTTTCTGTTTTAATGAATTTACACTTGCTCGACATCATTAATTAAATTGTTCTAGCCACATTGTTAATTTATATATGTATGTCTCCTTTTTATCGTCTTACGAGTGGCGATGTTCGTAACAGAAATTTATTTTTCCATCATCGATTTATTTGCAGCTCTAACAATTTTCCTGTTTTCTAATTGCAGTGTTAAGTTATCTAACATGGACAAAGGAATATTAAGAGGAGAATCGAAGAACCTCTACGACGAGTCGATTGAAACAGATGATCTCGCTTGTATTGTCAACACGGTGCGTCGTTTCTCGGAATTTTTACACCATTCAAAAACACGTGCGTTACAAATCGGGAGTGTCGAATGTATTTTTAAGTAATCGTATTTTAATGCGTTCGTTAGTCTATTCAATCGCGATCGTTTGTGTTTTCAGTAATGAAGCAGTTTTGTTATCGCGTTTATAAATATCATGTATTTTGTGTTTGTAGATGCAATCGTTTTCCGGGAGTGCCGAATAAATTCGGGAGTGTCGTTTTAGTGTCGCGAGTGAGTAAATAGTGCAGTGCATTGAGAAGTACGTCGAGGGATTGCCGGAGTAGCAGATCAACCGAGGAATGAATGCAGCTTGTCTACGTATCGGTGAGTAATTTTATTCAAATTTTTCTTTTGCAAAATTTAAAATTACTTCAATGCACTGCTAAGAAAAATTTAAAGTTTAATAAATTAAACTAGGCAAATGTAAAAAGCAGGAAGAATTTAAAGAAAGTTTAATAGATTCACACATGAAAGCATTTATTGAAAGTATAAGAAAATTTGCAATAAATATTTTAGTTTTAGTTATGTATGTCAAAACCGATTTTATCTCATATGATCTCTTTCATTTATTTTTTTGAATGATTTTATTTAAAATGGTTGAAGAAATGCAAAGCAATTTGATAATAAAACTTTCATGCATATATTATTGGATCATAGAGCCAAAGTAAGATAATATAATAATTACATTTTGTGTAAAACTTGTCAAAATTTCGATAGCAAAATTGAAACTGTTAATATAATGAAACTTACGAAAAATGTTTTATATATAAATATATTTAACATTATTGCTGAATTTAAGATTTCAAATTAATTGCAAATTTCTATTTTTATATAAACTTACTGTTTTAATAATCGGTAATCAACAATTAATAAAACGTGCGTTGAACAGTAATATTTATGAGGTTTCTTAAAGTCGAAGGTTTATCAGCATTTGCGTATGCATTGGAGTACATTGAGGATTAATTGATTAATACAAAAAGCTTTTAGTCGGGAGAAACAAGCAAGTACTTACAGTACACTTATGTGGTTTTTCTCCTGTATGTCTTCTCATATGCACGACCAACATGTACTGAGCCTTGAAGGGTTTTTCCTCCCTCGAGCATTCCTCCCAACCGCAAACAAAGCTCTTCTTGTTGGCGTGTATGTGATCGTTGTTGATATGTTTCACGAGATCATCCTGGTTTAGAGAAAAATACGTTAGATTAATATAGATAAGAACGAATACATCTTTTACCAAAAACTATATATTTGATAATATAGTGATATCATTATATATTTAACTCTTTCTTTCTCTCTAAATAATTTGAGAAAATTAAATATAACATTAAAAACATATTTTTAATGTTATAAAAATTTATTTTTTATTTACATTTTATTCAACGTTTCATAGTATAAAAATTATAATTATTCGCGCCATATTTTTTAAGCTTGCTCATTAACAGAAAAAAAATAGGATTACCGAATATTTTTGTCTCTGTATCTATGTTTACCTGTGTGGGAAACTCGAGACCACAATCTCTCCAATGACAATTCGTCTCGATAAAGTCACCGGGCTCATCTCTGAGATCCTCACTCGGACTGAGACCTTGAGGGTGAGTCGGCGGAGCGGTAGTCGTAGTCGCGTTTGTGGTCGTTGTCGCCGGTTCCCTTTTGACTTTAGTGGCGGTCCGCCTTGAGGAGGTGTCGGCTTCGGCCGTCACCGAGCGAGTCGACGATTCCGACGCTTTCCTACATGATTCTGCACTCTGTACATGCGAAAAAATATTACATAAGTATATCTGTTTTCTATCGTGTGTACTTAACGAGCTTGGAGTGAAATATTACGCTTACGGTGAAGTAATTTTACTCCTCGATTAGAACGTAGAATATAACGTAGTTTTCTTATAGATTATTTCAAACTTTGCTCAAACTGGATTTAAACTAATTTTTTAATTATAACAATTACATTGATTTATTATCAATTCAAGTCGCGTAGCGTAGCATTCGCAATTTAATTATCACATTGATAAGGTGCATTAATTCGATTGATTGTTCCCGACAGTCGTAAACTGTTCACGATATTTCTTCCTCTTTCTTTCTTTTTCTTTCGGTACTACATACTCTGATATAGACATAAATTCAAATACCTGCGCGCACGTGCGCATACAGGTTTCTCCGTCTCCGTAACTATGTCGCTGCTCGCCGCGATTTACCAGCAATACAGGTTGACGGGCGATAAGTATTCAAGTAGTTACGCTATTTGAAAGTGGATCAATAGAAATGGAAATAGAATAAAATATCAGATTCCTAATGCGGCCGTTTAATGTAAATTTTCTTAGGCCTAATAATTTACTTGCTTCTTTTTGCTATTTGCATAATAAATTCGCGTAGCAATACATAAAATTGAATAGAAATTCTGGTTCAAGTCAGACAATCAATTTTACAAATAATTCTTATATTAAAAAGTTGTGCAAATAAGCATAGAGAAAAATAAAAACACTGCAATGAATTGTTTTTACTCTTTTAAACATTTAAAATTATTATACATATACGAGGAATAATCCAAAAGTAAAGAAACTTTTTTCAAAGGCTTGACTCCTTAACTGTCCTTTTACTTTTTGACTTATCCTTGTACATAAAACCATCGGTATTTTAACAAATAATTTTTCTATAAATAATACAAAGCAATTTTGATATTTTGCGACGATGATTTGGTTTTCTATTTTCAATATATTATACGTTTGACTTTATAAATGGAACCAATCTCAAGGAGATTCGGTACTGAAAGGCAATCAAAAATCTCGATACAAACATATTACTTATTTAATATTGTTCCCGAAGTTACAACCCGACTATAGTGCATGTGAAAAAAAGAGAGAGGTTCATAAATACGAATCAAAACATTTCGTGTACGCGCGTTGCTACGAGCGCAACGACAACCGAGCGCGGTCGCACGGAACGCAAATGCGAGTCGATGCAAATCATGCCGGATAAACTTTACAGCGTGCGGACACACAGCCGGCTGTGTGCGTGTCGCGGGATAGAAAACGCCGCGCTACGTCAGCGAGCGCGCGGACGCGAATAAATCAGCGCGGGCTGCCCGCGACGATAGCGGTATAAGAAGAAAGCGACGGCCGGAGTGAAAGAAGGAGGAAGGATTGGTGCGGGAGGGTAAAATAAAAGCGCGTGGGAGGAGGGGAACGGTGGGGTAGAATCGGGCGAAATAATGTGCGCGAGATTGCTTGTAACCCGAGGACTCCCCTCTCGCGAGAGTAACCCAATCTTTCTCTCCCCCCTCTGTCTTTGTTGTTCCACCTTCGTTAACTGAACGAAGTCGGAACGCGCGTCAGAAAGAAAGAGCAAATAGGCAATTCGGGCGTCGGAATACAAGGAATGATTATTTATTCCCGACGAATCGATGACGGGTCCATCGAGCCTATGTATATCGTACTTTGGCTCGCAATAATTATCGAATGACTCTACGCCGTGTTCGTCCGCGTCGTAAATATATTGCGCCCGCCTCGCCCGGAGGCGACGCTGAGCGCGACGACACGTTCGCCGCATCTCGAGATAATCTATCGGTCTCGCGTCCGACGGATCGCCGTCACCGTAGCAAAATATAAGAGGTTAATTGCCGACGAGATAGTTTACTATTCGCGTCTCGGGAGTATCGAATGCACTCGCGTCTTTGCACCTTCTCGCTTACCTCGCTCTTCGGAGGCGCTGCGGCACCGTGCGGGCCGAGCGTCGCCGACGATGTGGAATGAGACGGCACTCCGGCGTACAGTTGCGAATGCGGGGACAATCCATGGGCGTGAGGGTGCGAATGAGGATGCGGCGGTGGTGGTGGAGGCGCGGGCGGCAGGGGATGAGGTAAGAGCGCCACCGCGGCGGCGCTCGCCCTTAAAAGGTGAGCCTGTAACTGCTGCAGATGCGGTGGCATGGTACCCGGATGCATGCCTAACGCCGGGCTCATCGCTGTGAAAATAATACAAATTTATTAATTATTGAATTACTGAGAGTTGCGATTTATGCAAACGCGCATATTTCATATTTATTCCTGGCATAATTATTTATCTCTAACGTCACAAATACGATAATCTGACAACGACAATGAACTCAAAATAAAAGAAATATTTAGATAGATTTGATATATTCATAGATTTCGAGATATATAATGTCGATGTTTGAAGGATGTTCTGGTAGGACGAATCTTCAGCAATTAATGAGCATTGGATGTTTAACGCTTTACACGATCGTTCGAATATGGTGGCGATACGAGAATAATTAATAAGCATCGAAATCTCAAACTGCATATCCATTCCCTTGATAGTCGAAGCACGGCACGCCGGACTTCCGGCACGTAGGCTAAGCTTGCATTTCAATCGTTAGCCTCTGACTGTTACAAAACCATAAGGCCGCGTAGGTAGAAACTATTATGCTGTGCATACATGGTAACTTGTTAAATAAGATCGCATTTTCGATGCATTCGTTTAAATGTAACATTATGAAAATTCATAAATTAATGGCATTTGCTATTTCGCGATTAAGACGTTATTATCATTATTATAATCGATGTAGTTAAAATCAGAAATCAATATTAAAACAAAAAAATAATTGGTTGAAGATTAACAAATTTTAGCGCGAATATAATTTTCGGGGAATTAAGAATCGGAAAACTTTCGCGCAAGACGAAAGTGAAATAAATAGTAAGGAATAATAATACACAGTTCCCGTACGCGAATCGAAGGCGAATTTAACGAGCGACAACATCCTGCGGGTATTCGACGACGCGACACCGACAAACGACCGGCGTGTCACACCGCCTGAATTTTAATTCGTTAATTACTTCATTTAATCGCAAATTACCGGGCGTTTTTAACTTGCAGGCAAGAAGGTCTCCGCCTATATAATGACGTAGCCACCTTAATTCCCGTGGCCATAATATATCGCGTTCGATCATCCTTCACCATTAAATGCACGATTACTTGATATTCAATACAGACATGTAATATTTTTCGAGATAATTATTAATTGCCACAAAAATATAAAAAAAATTACGAGCAATATTTTATTTATCAAAGATTGATGTAAGCACTTTATTATAAATTTACTTAAACTTTCAGTAGTGCTGAGAAGAAAATGCATAAAAATTATTGCGTTATTGCGAATCTGCAAAGCGATGCATATAAGAATTAGAAAAAATGCATCACATCGTCGATAAAGTTGATTTTTTTTATCCGATCATGAGAAGTTTTATTCATCATATCTGAATATTCAATATTTTTGGTCACCAAAAATGCTAGTTTCTTTTGTCATAAAAATTTTGGGAAATCGTGCGAAACTATTGATTGATAGTTTACACAAATAATTACAAAATTACTCACCAGCGGAAAGATGTCCATAGCTTCCGCTCGCGCTACTACTTCGCGAGCCATTCACTATGGATACCAAGCTGTTAGGGCTGAATCGAATCATGCTGTCGATATCGAACCTATCCGAATACGGCGAACTGCTCAGTGCTCTTTTTCGACTCGCTCTGATCGCCGAGGCTCTCGGGCTTCCTAATCTCGATGATGCAGAAACTAAAAATTCAGGAAGAGCGAATTAAAATCTAGTCTCAGTTTTATTTTCTCAATTCTTTATTCTCAATTCCACTCACTTGTATCAAACAGAATTTACAATTTAATTATCACTATAAAGCGGTAATGTTTTTTTTTTTTATCGAGACACACATTTTTAACATTCACCGCTGAGGTGGTAATCAGGTACATAAGTAGAAAGAAGTCGCACGGAAGATGAAGAGGAGCCGGGAACGTTAAGTGTATAGAAAAAGAAAGAGAGAGAGAGAGAGAGAGAGAGAAAGTCGAGAGGCTGATCTTGCGGCTTGAACGTTTTAGCGGCGATTTGCCTGCGACCGCAGCACAACGACGTAATATACAAACCACTTTCTTAAGAGCGCGGTGGCGGCTCGCTTGTACGTACCATCGTTGGTTACATGGTGGCGGTTACACTCTTCCTTCTCCCGACGCGTCACCTTCCTTTCTCTCTCTCTCTCTCTTTCTCTACACCCTCCCCTCCCCACGCTTCTCCCTTTTCTTTCTTGCTCTACCTTCACGGGCAATACCCACGGGATTAAGCCGCGAATGCCCTCTCTTTCTTTACCACGCTTTCGTGCTCCTTTTTCTCTCGTCGTTCTTTCCATCTCTCATGCCTCTTCCCGTCTCTCTCCTTTTTGCGTCTCCCACCTCCTTCCTATCTAAAGAGCAACGCGATACACAGAAGACAAGCACGGAGAGCGAGCTTACCCTTCTCTCCTCGATTTCCACTCGGTTGATCGCTCGTTCGCGCATAACGGGTATAGAGTTACTCGCAGTTGGAGCTCCAATCTTCTTCTTTTTTTTTTTCCTTTTTATTGCGAAACCCCTTCTTCGCGTCGCGCCGAACCGCACGAACGTGGGCACCCGCTTTGTCCCCTTCGACGATTATTAATTCGGTCAATGATCAAATTTACACCGACGACGGTAGCGATCGGAACAGGAAACCGGCGCTGCGGTTTTTCCGCATGATGTGAAACGATCGCGTGTTCATTGAGCGATTTATCGGCTCATGCGCGCCCGTTTCGTCGCGATCTCTCGCAGCTCTCCGAGTACGTTACATCTGACAAATTTGGCGTTTGCAATCGTTGTTTCTAATCAATCGAACGAGGATCGAGGTATAAAGAGATTTAGCCGGACACCACCCGGATTCTTTCGCATCGTCTCCACGGGAATCGGTTATCTTATCCGTCGCGACCGAGGGGGGGGGGGTTTAGCCCCATCGCGTCCGGTCGCGTCGCGCGATTCCCACTGACTTTAATGAATATGCGAAGCCTCGTTCCTTCCCTCCCCGCACGTTTCCCGCGTATCCCACCGCGTGGACCCTGTTTCTCCCGTAAGATCCGAGACCCTACGGTCCCCGACACGCTCGATAAGTCCCAGCTCTTCTCCTCGCTCCCTCGCGCGTGCAGGTCGAACATGGGATTGAGACATGTAAATTGGTGCAATCGTCCGCTCCGATCGGCGCGGCTCCTCCGACGCTACTACGCGAAGCATGCCATGGCGCTATAGCGCTTTTCAAACTACGCTTCCCGCTTAAGCGCTCTTTAATTTCTCCTTTAAATTAAATTAAATTAAAGGCTTAAACCAAACGAGAGATATTTTCAAATGACTCGATTTCAATTTAATTTATTTGCCTTTCGAAAAGACGGCGAGAAATTTGAGTCTTTGAGTACTTTAATGATTTCAGCGTTAGATCGTTTTAAGAGAAATGCGAGTGCTCGATTTTTTTGTATGATTGTGCGATTACATTACCGCGATTATTGAGAGTGCCGTCTCGCGCATGTGAAAATTGTGCACGGCAGAGAGACACGAATTGTAACGGGATGACACGAGGAGGGCGGGAAGAGGAAATGTGAGACAACCTGTAGAGTAGGCGCTAAGGTGTTAATGAGGTCGTGTCGCTCCGAGTCGATTCAATTATGCGGCGGTGGCGGCTAACGAGGCCCCGTTTACCCTTTCGGTCGTCTTTTAGCCTCTCTCGGCCTCTCGACCAGTCGATCTCCTACCTGCCGGTAGTGGCTGCTTACCCACGGCTAAAGCCGGCACACATAACTCGCACACACAACTCGCGCGTACACGCCAGGCGCGGACTGTAGAAATTAAAAGAGGGCCACACGCGCTATTAAAGAACGTAACTTACCATCGATGGAAAACGGGATTTCGGATGACGCGAGGGTGCTGGCTGGGCCTGCCGCGTGCAGGAGGTACTCGGGCCCCAAACCACCCAGTCCTGCAAATGCAAAAAAGTGCAAAATGAAAAAAAACAATACTCAATACAGTCCGATTCGACGAATCGGCGACGAGGCAGCGGAACGGACGCCGTCGCGATTCGTTCCAGAGGGAAGTAAGGCGTCTTTTTACGCGCGACACAGATCACGCGCGACGGATCGGATTCGAGGAGCTTTTGTACGCTCCGGCGGAAGAAGGAAATACTTCCGGCGGAAATGCGGGTCCCTTTTACGGGCTCCAGCGTCGATTCACAACCAGTGACGGATGGGACGTACTCGGTCTATGAGCACCTCTATTTGCGCAGACGGATAATAATTACCGTGTAACGAGGCGTTGGGACTGTGCGTGGAGGCCTGGAGGTGGTGATAAATGTGGTCCATGTAGTTGATCCGATAAGCGGGATGCAGGACCGTATGCTCCGAAAGTGGATGACTCCTGCGTAAAAAATCACCGGAAGTCCCGTTGCCGGCGGTCCCGCCCTCGCCGGCGCCGCTGCCACCCCCGCCGCCGCCGCCGCCACCGTTGTTGCCGTTACCGTGCGTTCCGAGCGCGGCCGTGCTGCCGGACAATCTGAAAAGCGTAAATATAAATGTAATGTTTAAGTCGAGAGCGCCGAGTTGGAAATCGTTAACAGAGATGTGATAAATCGTGATAAAAGCTTCATCAAGCTCTCCCCTCCCCTCCCCGCGAGAACACAAGTCTCATTAACGAAAACGTATTTCTGGTGAGACGTTTATGATTTACAGCGAGGCGGGAGAAGGAAAACATTCTCATTTGACGGATGAAATTACGACACGCTTCGCGGGCGCGACAAATGGCGCGTGTCTCTTCGTCAAAGCTCCTATTCGCGTCGCTTCTTAACGCGGACAGGTGTCCTCCATCAATGGCACGGTCGTATGATCAAAGTATAACTTCGTCCGCGGGGATGGAATAATGCGTTTTTGTTTGTCATCCCTCTCGCTGACGTCACAATGCGCCCGCTCGTTCGCTTCGTGGAAGGGAACCCCGGGGTTCAGAAGAGAGGTGGACTAACCGCCGTGAGAGAGGCAGTGCGTCTCCTCGTTTGAATGATGGCAATTCGCCACGCTCGAAACATCGAGAAACGATGCGTGTCCGGTGTCTTCAAAGATTCTCTTTTCCCCGACGTTCCTCCGTTAGACTAACGCTAACGGGAATCTCTCTCGCGGGCGAAATCGCGTCTTTTAAAATCGTCGAGCGCGCGCTTTCGTCGCTCGCGTCAAACTTTAATAACATTAAATCAATGCAGTTTCATTAAATTGAAAAAAAAAAAAATTAAAAGAAGAGAAACAGCGTTTCGAGAACTCTTGCCTCAAGTATTGTTGCTAGTTTACCTCTTTTAGTTAGGACGTTACGCTACGATCAGGATGTCCGAGATCTTTATTGAATCCTAAGATCGTAACTTCACGTTACTACTGCGTAGTATCCGAGAGGAACGTCCGTAACGACGAGTGACCGAAGGTCAAGTTCTGCTCGAGGCCACGTGAGAATGAGATTTTCCTCGCTAATCGAAACTCAAACGCGTGAAAAGTATAAAGGGGGAAAAATGCCAATGTTGTGAGACAAATATGAAGATTTAATTAACCGACGCGGATGATTACGGTGCGCCGCGAGTGATAAAGCAAACAGCACGCTGCTGCGCACGGGACGAAGATGGGGGAACGATTGGCGCGTGTCGTAACGTTTTAAGGTGGATTACGATGTTTGAGTCGGTCGCTGTCTAAATATTGGCTCCGCGCTTCCATGAGTTTGCTGAGTAAAGACAACCGGGTCGACTGTTTGACTTTGCTCAGTGTCCACGGATTTTGATTACTGTCTGTTGGCTACCCGCTTACGGTGGTCGACCGTGTTAAAACGTTTGTCGCGATACTCGTTGACAGGTCGACGGATCTCTCAATTCCGCGTCGTTCTCGAAACGGGGGAGAGAAGGAATTTTTGCATTATTATCTCTGCTGAACCGGATGTCAAAAAAATTGTAAATAAATAATCAAAATCGCCACTGCTATATTTATTAATTTATGAAAAATGATTGAACCTTAATGATTTTTTATTATAATTTAATTGTGGACAATGTTATTTCTATTAGTGATATAATTGTTCCTCTCCACGGAGCGCTAAAGCAAAAATTAGGGCGTTTTGACAGGCTGCTTAGTAGCAGATCTCGTAAAAAAGTCGACTGCGAGAATCGGAAGGGACCGGGGACACCGTTACAATGAAAACATCGTCGACTCCGTCGTGTACGGCGCGCTCGTGTTCTTCGTTTTTTCTTTTCGCACCGGGAGAGAAATGGCCGAAAGAGAGACGGAGCTTGAGAGCCCTCGGCGTAGGAAGAGAGAAGAAAAGGATGGAAGACAGAGAAAGAGAGTGCGCTGTGTCTATTTCCAATCCTGCTGACTGCCAGATGACTCGAGGTATGGTTCTGTGCCTCTGCTTCGCCGTCCTTCCTTCCTTTTCTACCATTTTCCTCCTCTTCCCTTCGCCTTCCGTTTTGAACGCGTGTCGCACTTTACGAGTTTTTAAAATATCCATGCTACCGACGAAATAATCGTTCATAAAAATTATTAAGTACAAATTACGTATTACGAAAATGTATTTTGAACCGATCATTCACTTCATTATCATTGTTTGTTTTTAAATATTCGGAGCATATCCTTTAAACATTAAGATCGTTTTTTTTGTGTCGACGTTTAAACGGTTCGCACAAAAGATACGTTCAAGCGCACAGGCTTCGCTTTTTCTTTCTTGCCTCCTCACGCTTTTCCGTCTCGCTCTTGCTTTCATTTCTTCTTTGTTTCTGTCTCTCGAAATTCGGTCTCTTTGTCGCGCGCACGGTCCATTCGCATCTTCCTTCCCTGTTGCGCGCCGCGGGTTTCCAATCCGGCCGAAACAGCCCCCACCGACAGATAAAACTCGAGTCGTTAACTCGACACGCCGGAAACCGACGCATCTATCTTTATCTACGACCCATCCGCCTCGAGAACCCAGAGGTCTTCTTGAAATTCTTACGGCCACCGCACGTCCGTTTCTTCTCGGCGGCGCTCAACAATGCTGAATCCCATTGATTTTCGGAACCTTTTCGAAAGTTTAAATCCCACCGTTTTTTTCATTTCTAAGCCGACGCAATCCGGAAGTATTAATTCGGCAGCATAATTTATTATGCCTTGAATAATTTTATAGTAATATTCTCGTTTATATTCATACAGATTAAACATGAAAACTTGTTCGAGTTGAGTAGTCCGCACGCGCAAAAATGTATGTACTTTGTAATAATTAGAATTACAAAATGCACGAGAGAGGGTTTCTTGAAATTTCGCCGCTGATAATTCGTCGATCGCCGGCAGACACGCGACGTCTCGGTTGGTTTAATCTCGGGGGGACAGAAGAGGGGGATGGGACGACGAAACCGGGTGAGGAATTAAGGTTCGCAAGCTCATTAACGTGACTCGTGGTAATGAGGCGAGCTAAGCGGTGCCCGGGAACATCTGCCCGGTTTCCCTCCTCCTGCTGCCTCGCAACGTGAAAAAGAAAAACGGAGACCGCGACGACGAAAAGAAGCCTCGTGCAGATACGAGAGGAGACGACCGAGGCGGGGTAAAAAGATGCGGCTTAAGCGCGAGCCGAAAGCCGATCAACGCACGATGTGGAAAGGCGAGAGATTTGGCCCTTGCTAAAAACTTTATCCCTCTCTACATGCGAATGTGCGAGTCGATGTAAGATGACTCTTTACAATTTGCCGAACAGTAATCTCGCGCGACTCGTCAGAATTGATGCCTCCTAATGAGCGCTGTATCAATTTTTATAATCCCGAGGAATTTAGTGTCGACTGTTAATATTGCTTTGTATTGATCTGATCAATGCACCGGCAATTATACTTGTACCAAAAGTGCAACGATGGATTTTAATTCGGAAGAAATTTTAAATGCGATAGTTTCGATATTCTTTTCTAATCATTTTTAATAATTCTATTCTAATAATTTTAACAATAAAAAGACGCGTTTCAAACATGAAAAATAGGGAAAAGACAGAAGATAAAACAGTTGAAGAAAAGTATTGAGAAATTATCATTTTTCTAATATCATCGCGAGTTTCGCTGCACGGTGAGACACGATAGTATTTCCTTTTTCGCGAATTGTAAAAATTGTAAATTAACAGTGAAGATGAACAACGCCATTCACGTCCGTCTCCCTTGTGGGATTTCAGTAACTCACATAATCCAGTCACCGACGTCGGTGTGTAGCCCGAAGCGATTTTTCACAACTCCGCACACTCTTCACGGCTGATCTATGGTTGCGATCCTGGCGCTGGGCCAGGATCGCGCTTTCTCAGTCGAGAGTGTCAGCGACTGAGGCACCGCAATGAACTTCTTAAGCTCCTACTACGAAAAGTCGTGAAACGTCGCGGACCTGGAATTATTTTCGATGGACATACAGATATAGTTCTCCGGCGCTTACGAAAAGCTCGCGCGGTCGCTCAGTTAAGTCGTATAATTTTATATTTAGCGCGCCGCGGGCCCTTCGGAGTTACCCTTACGTGAGTTTAACGAGTCGAAATACACTTCGTGCAGTGAGACTGTCATACAGTTATGCGGAGTACCAGAAACGTTTTCTTTTCTCCGCAAGTTATTTTTCCTATTTTTATATAAACTTCTTTTCTAGAATAATCGCGGTTCCAGAAATAATGAGACTCGCTATAACAGTAAAGTTTAAAACGACGGACAAGACTTGGGAAACATGCTGTGCTGATAAAATTATCCGCTCGAGAATCCGAACGAAGGCGATGTTTTCGCGACGAGTTTGGAACGTGGGGAAACTCGATTGCGATCAGGTAGAGCCTCGTTAATCAAGGTATTTACACGCTAGATCGGTCGCCGGCCTATCGATATGCGAACCGTCGTCGCGGATCGATCGGAGCCGCGCCTTCGGTTGCAAATCCAGCCTAACGGCGCTATATGCTCCGCTCGTAGTGTTATTTATAGGCTATTCGAACGCTGCGTGGCGCGCGCGTCTTGCGTACGTGCGTTTAATTCATTTAAGCCGGAGATTCGTCCTCGGATGCTTCGTAGAGGACAGACTGCGCCTGCCGTGACTTACGCGCGAATTAACAATCCGCGCGATTAGTACGTTAGAATGCTTTTTCTCCAAGATTTAGATCGCCGTAGCTTGTGAACGCATGCCGTGCGCCACCTAAATTAGGAACGAAAATTATGTTTTGTCGCACGTACAATGTTTTAATTTACAAAGATATCGATTATAGTTAAATAAATTAACTAATGAACAGAAAATTGATCTATCGCGATTGAAATTATCAGCCAGAATTGCCAGTTATTTGCTTTTTAATCCATTAAGTTTCTTTACGCGAGAGACGCGGTTAGCAGTTTTGTCGCCTGAACACATAGCCGAGCGACGTTAATGCGCTTTTTGTGTTTTCGCGAAAGAAATTTATCGCACCACCCACTAGATTTATCGCGGTTCTCGACGAGTTTGCACCTCTTCGCCTGTTGTATCCTCTTCGCGATCGCGAACCAACTCGAAAGGATTTCAAAGTAGTATTTG